CGCCTGAAGCCGGAAGCATTGTGCGACAAAATTGCAGTGGAGGCAATTTCTTGGAGTTATTGGTGATTTACTAGTAACAATGCATTTTACAAACCTACTGAAATATGAGTAGGTGTCTAGATGTCAAGAGACGTTTTTTGTTGAATTTAAGTCGACAACTTCCCACGTGAGTTGCATATGAGCTACAACTTTGTCAAGAGCCAATAAGATTGAAGCATAAAAAGCATTGTTGAAAATCTGCTTATTTATAGATTAGTTTGAAACTCATTCACAAATCGCAATTATTAGAGTTACACACTTCAAGAAATGGGCAAACTCATTACTGATGATAGCGCAGCTTTACAACCAACTAGCTTTAGTTTACTTGAGGCAGGAATATTTAAAAAGAGAAGTGCACACACACACATAATTTGAGTGATTGAACAACTTCCAAAAGGGTAACACCCTACATCAGCCAAATTCATCACTAACAGGCTTAATTGTGTAAACAATTAAGCCTGTCGAAGTTGTGCAACATACAAAAAGGCGGGGGGTGGGGGGGGGGGCAGAGACGGTAGTTTCAGCGCAAGCAGCAGGAATGGAATGGAAATGGCAACCTACTTGGTGTAGACTCCAAACTCAGGGAGGAGGAAGTAGCTGGATTGAATGTTAATGTGCACATCGAGGTAGCTGCGTTGACTGACCAGATACCGCAAACCAGTTGTAGTCATTGCCTTCATCTCATCCAACGACGGTATCATCGAGGAAGATATTCTATGAGCAAAAAAAAATGAAATAACATAAAGCGAAAAGTAATGCCTTCTTCTCCAATCATAAGCGAGTAGAGAGTAGCGACTGCGACCACTCAGTGGCAATAATGGAACTTTACAGACGAAATAGGCCGCGAGGTGTTCGTTTCGTGGTAGGAAAGACACTGAAATCTTGACTTGTCCACCGAAATCGGAATTCCATTCATAAGAGCTGAACCCTGCCACAATTGAATACAAGCCTAAGTGGCCATTATTTTTACCAGGAACTCGTGCAGACAGGGAACAATTAGGTGGAAGACAAAATTGAGAAGGAAAGAATGTGGACAAAACGCTGAGTTCAAACAGTTAGCGCTTTTTATTTGCAACGAGTGAGATTAAAAAGAAAAACTGAAAATAGACAAGGAACCTAAATGAGCCAATCGCTCAACCCAGACATAGACTCATCAGTTCCGAGGAGTTACCAGAGGATTAGGACAACTGTGTTACCATAAGACCAGCTAGCTAATCTTTCTCATTTCACTTATTTCAAAATACCGAGCAAACGTTATCCGCGGTCTTGGAGTTATTAAGCCGCAGACCTAATTCGATTACTACTACTAGATCCAATATTCGCCTTCGAGAGTTTACAGCCCAAGGCGTAACGAGGGGGAATTCCTTCACAAGTACCAGCAGGCGAGAAAAACCTATGAAGACGACAACTTCAAATACTTCCATTGGTTAGACCAAAGCTACCAGATGAAGAGTTGAAGCTCATGAGAAAGAGATGCGCTTCAATGGAGAGGGGGGGGGTGGGGACAGTTGCACGCAGTTAGCGTCGAGGGAGGGAGGGAGGGGAGGGAGGGAGGGATAGATGAGTTGGCTATGTACTGGGTGTGAGTTAATCATGTGTAAAAGTACACATACACACAACGTACTAAACGATGCCAGGCCACTACCCGATCACACGATGTACTCATCACAAACTGCAATGTGCAGAAATGAGTGGAAGAATTGCATTCTGCAATTAGAAGAATATTAAGGTAGGATTAAAAAGGGACTCCAACTAGTACATTTTTCATAAATGTAGAGGTAAATGATAAGGCAGATGTGAAACGGAGAACCAAAGGTTGTATAAACTGAGAATCCCGAGGGGATTTAAGAAGCTGCAGTGTAAGTGCCTCCATGGTGCTTCCTTTTCGCCCCACATGATGGCATTTCCAGAGGGCTGAAAGCACTGAGCCACTGAATTTTACCACCTCCCTGCCCCAAGAAAAACTTTTGACATATCAAACTGAAGAAATCAGAGTATTATATCCAAGAATGCAACACTCGAGCTTTATTGCACCTTTTTCTACTTTAGTGTTGTAAATGTCCTGTCGTTAGACGTCCACAACTCAGTCTATTTAACAAATAAAATAATAATAATAAATTCTATTTTAAAGTCCATTGAACTTGCAGACATGTTCAAGAGGGAGCCTAATTGGTCAATATTTGGTGCCTACTAGCGTATTTTATAATTATAATAGGATAGATTTCATAAATAGGCCTACCGTCCTTAATTTAATCTCCTATCGCGAAGCGGCCTCGTTATTTCTCATCGGTCAATTATGATTAGCGCAGTTTCCAAGAGAAAAAAAAACAAATGTTCAAAGACAAACTTGTACGAAACCATAAAACAGGAGAGAGAGACTTGATCCAAATCATGGCTTCTCAGTTGATGAAGCTCCAGGTTTCTTACTTAGGTAATACAACCAATTAGACCCGACTTACTCATTTAGATGAAGTCCTTCGGGGAGTTTAAAGAAGTCCACAATTTTGTTAATGGTGTCGGCGTCATAGACAACTTGAATAGGAGCCGCTAAGACGTGGAGGCGTTGATCAGCCGTCCTGTCTAGTGGATTCGTGGCAAAATTCACTGAGAGTAGGGATTGACCTATGGCTGTACTGGATATGAGTGTTGGAACGACATCGGTGAAGACATTTCGCGTCCCAAACACATCGAATCCTGCTAGTTTCAGAGAGAGACTAATAGAAGAAGAAATATATTTGCAGTCATAACAAATGAAGGTACAAGAGCATATTTAATCTACAAAATAGCACCAGACATTAATATAACTGAACACTTCAAGAATTCACGATATCGAAATAGGATGGGATGTACTAAGTAAATTCGACGGTATTAAGAACCAGAATCGATTAATTAGCGTATAGAAAGAGTGTGAATGTGTATATGTGTTATAATAATTGGGAATTCTTCCCACTGAATTTGAGTAAGTGTAGATATAGATTGACTTCATGACAAACGAGTCCCCCCCCCCCCACCTTACGATGAAATCCCAAGAATTCATCAACGACTACATATCCGGTCCATAAATGATGACAAACTTGTATTGCAGAGAGTAAAGACTGAACGAAGTTCATCCTACATTATTTACTTTATTACAATGTTCCACACAAGCCAAATTGTTGTGAAGGGATGCCAACCCATAGGATACAGTAATTTCGGTGATTATAAGTGGTGAAATGCGAATAAAATTAAAGCAAAAAAAAATACTCACTCCATAGCTTTATCTCCAGAACGTTGTTTGAAATCTAACGCCACGGAGATCAATTGAACTTTAAGGATGGATGGAGTTCTGAAATAAACAAGTTGAAGGTCAAAAAAAGAATATCCGAAAGAAAACAAGACGCGTTCAGGAATGAATAGATGGACGAGAGGAGGAGGTTTTCACGTTGTCATTTCATCTCAATAGTCACCCATGAAATAATGGCAACGTAGAAAGTAGTAGAAGAACCACATTCCAACAATAATTGTGCCCTAATGATATATTTCCAAGGCTCCAAATGTAGATCATTCGCCCATCCTAATAAATAAAGCCCAATTGCTGGGGTGGAGAAATATTTGGAAATTACTTGAGGCCTTTCTCAAATATGCATGCTATAGTAAAAAAAAGTAAGAATGCTCGGCCTACCCAGTGTAAATCCAATCATTAATAAAATTCTCAACCTGGTAATGGGGTGGGTGAGGTTTTGATGACCCACTGGTATGAGAACTTCACCTTCTACCACCACACCCACTAAATATAAATAAATCAATATAATTGATCACTCATGCTACGTCGACGAACTCTGACTTATAAGATGTGTTCTCCATAGTCTCCGCGTCACCGTTGCACCATAAACACATCGATTACCACGACGATTAAAGCAGGAAGGGTAAAGTAAAGGAGGCTAACCGATCATATGCCATCTTCTTCTTCTTCCCTTGCTGAGCCATTCACGTCCCCCATTTTAATCAAATTTAACTCACCTACTCACTTCGCCTCCTATAAAGGTGTCCATTTTCTTCTCGCTAATCGGTCCACAAGAACGAACACCCCCACTCTATTGTGCAATAATGGAAGTATGTACGAAATCTCATTTGAATAAAAAAGAGGACACGCTTTTATATTAGATCCACCTCAGCATGCGTCAATTGAGATAAGGAAATGACAATCACGCGACGATCAGAGAATTTCTACATCATCAAAGGGAGTTCCATTATTTACCCAGAGCCTGGATACCAGGGGCTTTCAGTCTGGTTTCTTGGGAGATTATGGTATCTAATAATTACAGATCCACAAAAATTAGCGTAGTTTCTGTATTCTGTGTAATGAAGACTACTTTTTAAGATTGAGCCAGCAGTACTTCGATGGTCAACTTCTTACAGAACCAATTCATTTAAAAATGGAAATATTCTAAATAGATTAAAAAGTCGAAAGTTCATATGTATCCAACGCAAGGTAGGTGAATGGGCCAAGTACTTAAGGGGGCTTAGTCGATTGCCAAGCCGATTCAAATTATTTGAGTACATAATTAATTAATTAATTAATTTAGCCCGCCCTTAGGCTACTTTCAGGCCTACTCAACAATGTGACATGAAACGATTTTGCGGATTGGCTACAAAGACGTATCGTTGGCACAGAAAGACACACATAGAGCGAGAGAGAGAGTTTGCACATACTTTAGTTCATTGTTGGCGAGCATGAGTGAGAGTCCACCGAGGGAGAAGTTGACAATAGTTGAAACGTAGTCGGGTGGGTAGGAGCTTTTGCCCATACCTTCAGTGTAGTTGAGAGCGGAGTAGAGCTTCCGCTTCTCCTCCGGCGTCATCTCCTCTTGGAAACGTTGTATAACTCGATTACCGACATCTGCATGGCCTAAAGAGTCAGTAGAAGGTGTCGTTGTGGAAGAACTCGATCCACTGAGAAGCCAGGAGAACCAGCCACCACTTTTACCACTAGTATTTGATTTGGCCCTCGCGGCCTTGGTCTTAGTAGCCTATTTAGTCAGCGCACAATGGGATCGATTAGTGAATGGTGGGGAGAGAGGGGTCAATAAACGTGACAATGGCTTTTTCATCACCAAAAGGAGTTTGATCTAAAGCCAAAAACTGAAGCTCTACGGTATGATTTTTTTTTAATTTCTTAAAGTTATTCAAGGAATGTGATGCTTCAGGCCAGCTAACTTCAAGGAAAAAAGTTGACCTTTTTCTAGAAATCAAATGTATTCCAAAAGTTTAAGCTCAATATTGTGCGTATGCACTCAGTTTATCGCATTAGTTTTGTGAATTTAGTATATAAAGTGTAAAATAAGGCCACTGTTTGTCTCCAAAAATCAGATTTAAGGCAGGTATGCCAAGCAATTAGTACGCTGAATTCTTCCAGAGAGTAAGTGATCAAACCAAACACAACTCCAACAACTACTAGTCGCCAATCAAGTGGAACAATAGCGTTCTTGAACAAGGTCTTGGTACGAACCAAGACTTACCTCCACGTGGTGCATCCTGGACAACGCATACTCAAACGGTAAAATAGTCCATAAATTGGCAGTTGACTTCTGACTTCAAACTACCATCACCCCACTGTCTGTCATATTACACCGCTTTCACAGCACTCATCATACCTTTTCTCTGCCTTTGTGTCTGTCTATTTACGTCTTTGAATTACCCTTCCGTTCTCCCTCTCGAATTTTCCCAACTTTGATGTTCCTTCTTCTCTCTGCGAAGCCCGAAGTCAGCTAAAGGGCAAATGATAACTATCAAAACACCTGCTATTTTAAATAAATTAGCTTTGGAGGGATGTGAAAACGATATATGTAAATTAGAGGTATATTAAAGGATTTAAGATTATCATTTATTTATTTATTTATTTATTTATTTATTTCAAATGG